AATTGCTCCTCTTTCCAACATCATTTTACAACTTCTGTCTGCTTTCCTACTTCTCTGTCCCCACTTACGTTACCCATTTTTGCCCCTCTGAATTCACTGAAATTTGCTGACTTTATCCTTTAAGACAGCCAGAAATGCACGTCTACTTGTTCCCTCCCCTTCTCCCAGCTTAAACTGCCTAAAATCTTCCCAGTGAAGGAGCACTGCCCAAAATCTGCTTGCTATTCAGGCAGTCCTGGCAATGACAAGCAGCACTTCATGAATCATCTGTTATATACTGCTTTATCAACATGGTCTGCTGCACAAGAAAGTAAACCTGGCCCACTTCAGTTTCCTGCATAACATAATCAAAATGTGAGTGGCATTAATTGCTACAGCAGTTTTAAGACCCCTCAAGCCAAGGTCTCGAATGCAGCAGATAAGAGACTGCTGTAAGACACAATGTAAGGCAAAATCATATTTTCAGTTTTGATTTTATTTTTGTTTTTTTGATCACTGTTGCTGTTTGCAAGTCTGAAATCAGCAAGCTGAGGAGAACCACGTTCCTTTCATCACTGTACAGAATTGGTGTGCTTAGACCTCGAGTACCTGTAAATGGAAAGCATGGGTTATCTATAAGGGAAGCAGATGCAGAACTGAAGAGCACTCCTGAGTGAAGTGACAAAACGCATCCTGACGGCTTCTCTGTCCAATGACACGCATTTAACAAAATAAGCTCCAGGTATTCAAGCAGGAATCTGATAGAATGCAAATCCAATGGCCAACTTTGCAGGCTGGGTAGCAGGACTGAGAAAGGAAGGTGAAGAAAATTGATGGGATGCCTAAAAACAAGCTACAGATAAGCTAGGAGAGCAACAAAGCAGAAAGAGACACCACCAAAGAGGCCAGCAAGAAGAGTCAAGAACACTTGGCAAATATGTAATGAAGATCATTATCACTATCCAAACAATACTTCCAATTAATATTTCTTTACGGTCTTTATGCTTGGTAGTTTGGAACAGACCAACAGCAAATACCATTCAGCAAATAAAACGTTCTGGTAACATGATCATGTGCACCAACCCTAAACCAACCGAGACAAGTCCTAAGGGTTTGAAGAGTTGTGTTATATACACATTATTACACACATACACACAGCAGTATTTCCAGTAAATACAGATCCACGTATCACCAACCAGCACAACACAGCCATTTTATCATCTGGAAAAGAACAGGAGACCAGAAGAGTGCTTTCAGCCCATGATGAAGTCAGCCCAGCTGGGTCCTGAACGTTCAGGTTGTCAGACCCCGCGGAGCATTGCTCAGCACACACTTGGCCACTTAACCCACACAGCACATGCTGCACTCAAGAAAAAGAAGGACTCGTTTAATTTACAGTGCTATTACAAAGGCATGGCACACAACAAGAGTTCCAGGAATGCAGCCCAAAGGTACTGAAAAACAATGGCAGTGGGCTTTCAGTGGGGCATGCCCAGCGTTCAGCCAAGCAAGAACACAAGCACCTCATGCTGTCAGCCTGCAGTCCTTGAGGTTAGGCTGTGCAACAGGTTCTAAAGGACATTCAGCATGCAAATTCCTTTTAGCATAAGTTACTTGATAAGTGCATAGTAGCTCTTAGCCATTCTCAGCTCTGGCAACAGAAAGATGACCTGGAGTATCTGACTCTTTCATATATTACATAGGTGGTGGAAACGTTCTTCCTCAATGCTTTGTTTTATCAGGTTTGGGGTATGTTCATGCAATAGAAAGGCTGTAGCTGCCTCAGAACTGGAAACCCACAAATGATCACAGAGGGAAAGATTCAGCCATTGCACCAAGCTTCCAATCCCAGAGGCATCTTCCGATGGCTTTAAAGAAGTCTGCTCCAGGGAGCAGCAAGCCACTTCAAAGGAGGCAACATAATCTAAACCCACGGGCTCCTGCTCAACTTTACCTTTTCTTTTCACGAAGCCCTTCTCCCTGCCCTTGCAGGTCACTGCACAGTTTAATGCTGCAGGCTGGAATCAGCTCCACCTCTCCAGCAGCCCATAGCCAAGCGGCTCCCATGCTTCCACCTCTTTTTGCTTAATTCCTCCTTCTGTTTTATTCTTTTTGCTCGTAAGCCAACACTAAGTGATAAATGAGACTCGCTCCCACTGACCACATCATGTACTTGGGGCATGGAACCCAGTGCCCCCCACCCCAGCTGTACAGCTCAGACCTGCCTACATATCAAAGAACCGTTAAGGCTGGAAAAGACTCCTAAGACCATCCAGTCCAACTGTCCACCTAGTACCAATACTGCCCACTAAACCACAGCTAGCAACACTATGTAAGCAGAGATGGCAAAGAAAGCCAGAGAGCTGAATGGCTTTGCAGGTCATGGACACACACTTCTGAAAGGGCAGCTCCCGTGCAAAGGATGAGAGCTGCCACCCCGTGCTTCCATCCCATCTGCTAAAAGATGGTCATTTTCAAAATGCATTTCTGGCTGTTCTAAAGCATCCTTGCTCCAAAACCAAACCCTGAAGCAAACCCGG